TCAGTTGGACTTAGAGCTATATCAGATGGACGTTAAAACTGCATTTCTCAATGGAGAATTGGATGAAGAGATCTATATGGATCAACCAGAAGGCTTTGTGGCAGTAGGTCAGGAGCGCAAAGTTTGCAAGCTTCAACGATCTATTCATGGCTTAAAGCAATCATCCAGACAGTGGAATCTGAGATTTCATCGAGCCATTGTTTCAAATGGGTTTACAATGATTGATGAAGATCACTGTGTGTACGTTAAGCGGTCCAAGGACATTTTTCTGATATTGTCATTATATGTAGATGACATATTATTGGCTGGAAATGACAAGGAGATGATTGTCGCCACTAAAATGTGGTTGTTCTCTACATTTGAAATGAAGGACATGGGTGAGGCGAGCTATGTGCTCGGTGTTAAGATCCTCAGGGATCGCTCTAGGAGACTTCTTGGTTTGTCTCAAGAGACTTACATTAAGACTATTCTAGAGCGGTTTCAGATGCAGAGCTGCAAACCCATTGACACTCCTGTTGCAAAAGGCGAGAACCTAAGCCTTGATATGGGTCCTAAGACTCAAGAAGAAAATGAAAAGATGGCCCGTGTTCCCTATGCAAATGCTGTTGGAAGCTTGATGCATGCTATGATGTGTACACGTCCTGACATTTGTTATGCAGTCGGATTGGTGAGTCGTTACCAATCCAACCCAGGACCAGCTCATTGGAAAGCAGTTAAGAGGATATTACGATATCTTAGAGGAACTGCAGATTACACACTTTGCTACCAGAGTTCAGATCTACATCTAGTTGGCTATTGTGATGCTGACTGGGGAGGAGACCTAGATGAGCGTAAGTCTACTTCAGGATATGCTTTCATGCTTAGCGATGGTGCTATTTCTTGGAGCAGTAAGAAGCAATCCTGCATCGCCTTATCGACCATGGAGGCTGAGTTTGTGGCTTGTTCATCTGCCGTTCAGGAAGCCGTGTGGTTGAGGAGATTCCTTCAGCATTTGGATGTTGTCACACACACTTCAGACCCTGTGACTATCCATTGTGACAGCATGGCTGCACTCGCTTACGCTAAGGATCCTAAATACCATGGCAGAACCAAACACATTGATGTGAGGTTCAATTTTATCAGAGATATTTTGGCGCAGAAAGAAGTGATCCTGGAGCACATCCCTACAAGTCGCATGGTTGCGGACCCTTTGACTAAGCCCATTGCTAGAGATGTTTATCTTACTCATGTTAGGGCTTTAGGAATACGTAGGTGGTGATATTTTTATGTGTATTCAGTTGAACTCATTTTTTGGGGATATTTATGCCATTAGTATTCATACTTGTTTCTATCACACATTTATGTTTACTACTTTTAGTAATGGTATGTGAATTAGCATACACAAAATAATAAAATTGATGTTAGCAGACAAGATTGGCTCACTCACACGAGCAATCGCCCTTAGCGCTGGGTAGCGAGTAAGGATGAGACTAGAAGCTAAAATTATCCACTAGCTATGTCGCCTTGGTTGGAGCCAAGATGAGGTCTTGTTAGAGACCGACCATGGATATGAGAGTACCCACTTTTCCATGATATGTCTGTTATGGATAGCCAGATGCGAGATCTCATTTGATGCCTGAGAGGCGAGAAAATAGAGAATTCGAGTTAGACGCTAGGAAGCGACTCGTGCGCTTAAGAGCGACTAGACTAAGATCTGTATGGTGTGTGAGTTTAAAATCACTTTTTGGAAGAGTAATTCCACTATAACATGCATTCATACTGCATGTGCTTATCGACCCGTTAGCGAGGTGAAAGAATGGATCCCTGCTTCTTCACCGTGTGAGTCCTAAAAGTCATTTTTTCCTAAATGACTTTACTTTGTGCCTTTTGTGACCTTTGACTATGTCATAAGATGAGAAGTTGATGTTCACCTACTTTGGTATGTTGCCTGTGGTCATGTATGATTCGGCTTTAAGGGACATTACTGGGAAAGCGGTCAATTTCAAATTGAATGATATGAGGGTGAAGGGAAGATCATCTAGTTCTACATCTCTGCTCTATATTCACTGTCGACAACTCACATCGCTCTTTATAGGATGCTGATTGGGTGTGAATATAATGCGGGACCTAGGAGAGTCAAACATGCTCTTTGAGGGATTAGAGATGTTTTTGGACTGATGTAGCTAGATGGGTCTGGGTACATGAGACACTATTTCTGTTCTTTTTGGGTTGATGTCTCTATGCTGACTCATATTGAGTTTCTAGTATAGAGCTCCCACATGCAGGTGTTCTCAGCGGTCGCACGGTGCATTGGCTAGTATGAGATTGTTCATTTCTGGGGAGATTGAGATAGAGATGTGGCAGTGTCATGCCAACTCATGTGCGAGTGGGAGATGTTAGTAATGAGTGCCCATGTGGCATGACCATTTGAATTTGAATTTGAACCTTATCCAAATAGGTTTTGAAGTTGAATTCAAACCTATTTAGGATAACCACTCATGATACAAATATTATCTCTATTAACTGATATGGATAGATAATAATAACATATTATATATCTAGAATATGGGTTATGGGTGATTAAGAGAGAAACAACGTATGATCTGTTTTTACCCATATACTGACTCTCTCCCAAAAACAACGATCAAGTCTTTTGCACTGTGATTTGTGTGGGTGATATTCAATCTGTAATATCACTTCACTGCTGGGCTGATTTATCAGACTCTGGAAGCACGTGATTTATCCACGAGGTTCTATCACTGAAAAAGGTATGATCTAAACATTTTATCCGCTGCATGTTTTATACTATGATTTACACTCTCGTATACAATAATAAAATTATCTAAATTATTAATTGAAATATATTTCTAATATCATTAAAAACTGTTAATTGACTTGATGATTTATTAATAAAAGAGGCGATTTGTTATAAAATTAGAAACCTCATGGAGTGGAATGTAATTTCCAGAACTACATAGGCAATTCATATTTTAATTAAACCTCAGGGGTGAATTTGTAATTTACCATTTTCTAAAAGACCAATTAAATGAAATTGTGTAGTTACGATTAGGGTGAAGTACCAATAAATCTCAAATAGTGATTTTATAAAATGTTTGGTTTTCCATTTTTTCTTATACATCTAAAAGTCTCATTCTAGTGTGAATTATATAAAGTGCCAAGTATAAACGCGTGGATATTACGTGTTGAGAGACAAATGTAGGTTTTCTCATAATGTTCAAATTACTAAACGTAACACTTCAAAAAAAATTCTTAATTTACTTTTCCTAAACGTAACACTTCAATACAACACTAAAAAAACATAAAACTCCAATATAATACACTAAAAAACTCCTTAGTGTATTTTTCTCAAACGTAACAATATAACATTCAAAAAAACTCCTTAATGTACTTTTTCAAAACGTAGCAATCCAATTAATGTAAAACACAAAACCTTTTTAGTGTGCTTTTTCCAAACATAACGCTCCAATGTTACACATTAAAAACCTTCTTAGTGTACTTTTCTCAAATATAACAATGTAACATTTTAGAAAAACTTCTTTGTGTATTTTTTTTCAAATGCAACACTCTAATGTAGCACTCTAATATAACACTAGAAAATCATACTAACAAAAATGTAGATTTTCATACTTAACAACCAACACTTCAACCACAAATCCCTCCAAAAAGAATCTTCCACACCTTACCTTTCCATTCACATACCAAAAATGAATCAGAAAATTGAAAAAATGAATCACAAAAGGATATTCACTAAACTCAAATTGCACCAAATCAAATGAATATAACTTTTCAAAACAAAAGGGACTAATTGGTTCATAAGAAAACTCTTAAGACTAAATGAATCAACATTCTCTCATATGAGATTTATGGGTAAATTTTTTTTACGATTATTGAATTAAATTAATTTTTTTATGTATATAAACTAAAAAAAAAAAAATCTAAAAAATAACATGTTAAATCACCAAAATAAGATACCACAAATCTAATTGTTTTGGACTGGACTTTCTCCAAATTGTATTTCCACTCCAATTCAGTGAAAATATTAATAAAATGATAACATGTAAGTTTTTTTTAAAAATTTAAAAGATCACATATTTTTTATGTATCACTTTTTTAACGTTAATAAGATTCTTAATAAAAAATAAATTTATTTTGAGGTGAAAAAAAATATATATATTGATCGAGATAAAAAAAAAAATAAAATAAAATAAATTACTGCATCAAAAATAGAGAGTTCACTATAAAATTTGTTGCACATCCACGTGCAATCATACATTGGGAATTTATTTATTCTAAAGTTAAATGCAACATTCGATTCCAACCAAAAAAACAACAAAATAAAGCTTGAACCACCTTGGCCTTGGTAACTCTCTGATCTCATTCGATTCAGTCAACTCAACAAATGACTTGATTCACATGATTTTCTGTTTTCAAATTTGGCCAAAGCTATATAAACTTAATTTTTTTTATCATATATTTTAATCAATCAATAATAAATTATTTTTAAATATAAATTGAATTACATTAATTTAGACAATATATCAACACATATTTATAAGCACAAAAATTAACACAAAAGAAAGCCCATAATAAGTAATAACAAACTCAATATAACAAAAAAATTCATAGTAAAAGAAAAATAATTATTATTTATCTTCAAGTTGATCCTGGACCCAATATCTTCATATGTTGCTCTCTATAATATATTTAAATTCTAAGTAATTTTTTGATAAGTACCATTATATGATAAGTTAAAAGTACAATAATAAGATAACTAATGTTTCACGTCTACACACAACAAATATTACAGAAAAATATGAAATCAAATGTATATGTGAGTACAATGAGGTTAACATTAGATGAAAATATACATCTAGCTAGTGGATTCAGATCATTTCAAATCCAAAATGGCATTATTAATTTTTGAGAGGTGCATTTAGAGGGGAAAATATTCAATAATCCTGGAGCACTACGTAGTCATACTTCAAACCAATCATCAATTACTTAGCCCCATGTTGTTCCTCGATCTCCAACATAAATCGTGCGCCCCTAACCCTCTCTACCAATCAAAACTTTATAAAGCACCACGTGTCCATACTCCAGAAATACTGAATAATCACCCTATTTAGAAGCACTCGAGATGGTCAAATTAAGTAGAGTAAAATTAGGAACATACATACCCTTGTAAACTCCTTGATAGATGTGAGGTAACTCTGCGAGATACTTGACAATGAAAGCGCAAGCAGAGCTTGTAGTGTCATGGCCACCAATAAGCAAACCCAATATCTTATCTGCAATATCAATCTCCTTCATGAACTTGCCATCCTCATCCGCCGTGAGCAACATGTGGGACAATATATCTTGCGTTGGTGACGCCTTCCCCTCCGCCAAGTAGATCTTTCTTTGCTTGATGATTCTCATTAGGAACTCCTTTCTGATGTATTCGGATGCCTTGATGGAGTGATGAAATGGTGTCCCTGGAAAGTCCACTGGGATTGACACTAACCCCTCTGACAAGACCTTGAAACGTTCCAAGAATCTATCAACTTCCTTTGGATCTTCTATGCTAAGAAACAATCGACAAGCAATCCAGAATGTGTAGCGTTGGGTGAGTGGGTAGACCACAACGATCATGTCCTATAAAATTATATGCAACAACAAAATTAGTAATTATTTAAATAAAAATTAGTGTATTTATTGACAAATACAATTGTACAATAATTTAAGTACAATTATACTTAAAAATAGATTTATATGCTTTTAAATTTGAGTCTCGGTATAATAGATTATGACGTTCTTCTCTGTAAAATTTAATTGTCAAGGTATTTAACTGGTCTTTGATAGTCCCCAAATTAAACAGTACAATGCAAGAAAATAACTCCAATTATTTACTTTTATGTACTTGCAAGGAAAATGTTTTGTCGGATTGTCCTTCTATTACTCACAAATATATGTGCCTTCTAGTATTTCTCAAACATTTAACAATATAATCTATATTTCACTACTTTTCACCATTGATTATGGTAAAATGTATTGCATGCATATATATTCTATCCACATATAAAATCACTTCCTTGCAAGAGTACAATTATTTATTTCCCAAATTACTTTGGCATTTTCTCTCAATCTTGAAAGTCATAAATAGAAACACACCATCTTAAAAAAAGTAGATGGTGGAGTAATTTTTATGTGTGGTATTTTTTATTATTGTAATTAGTTTTGACAATACAATCTATTATATTTATATTAGACGTTTGGAAAATATTAGAAAACATATACATTTGTGATTGATAAAAGATAGTGTCACGTGGTGTCCTATTAACATATAAAAATTTCTCTAGAAGGTGACTTTGAGAAAGAATTGTGACAGTCGCTATTTAATAAATTGGGTCAGGCTTCCCTCCTTTTCAATCTAAGATCGGATTAGAACATATTGTTATACTTGTAGGGACTCATCACGAGTCCTGTTTTGATAATCTAAACCGTTCAATATGTAGAACTCGAAGACTATTTTATCTCTGTAAAAAATTATGTTGATCGGATATAAATAGCTATTTGATCATATTAGATTTCTGTCAACGATATATATAATTTTTAAAATAAATTATGGAAAATGAGTGAGACCCCCCTTTTTGGAGTACCCCACAACCTCCAAAGTGATCCACACTACTGATGATGTGTGAGGCCCACTTATGTATGTGTAGGGCCCACATCATGAGTGGTGTGGATCACTTTGGGGGTTGTGAAGGTCCTCCAGAAAGAAGGTCTCTATCATTGTTGATAATAGGGGAGTTTTTATTCCCGAAAACTCTCAGTGCAATCCATTTCCTTATACATGTAATTTCATAATTTTAATAAAATTTTATTTTGTTGATAAAAAAAAAGTGAGTTTTTAAAAAAAATAAAAAAAATTTAAAATATAAAAAAAGAGAATAAAAAAAAAACAAAACTTTAAAAAATTGTGAAAAACTAAGAGTCTCTTTGGTTTAGTTTTAGATTTTTGATTTGGATGTAGAGTTATATTTTGAGTTTTGAATTTTTGAATTATAATTTGAAAAGAGAATTTATTTGATTATGAGTTTTAAAAATAGTTTTGGGATGATTTATAATTTTTTTTAAAAAAAAATTATTGATTAATTGATGTATAGAATGTGCAAAAAAGATAGAGAGAAAAAAATGATTAATTGATTGATTCATAATAATAAAATATATATATATTTAAAAAAAAAGAGTGAGAGAGAGAAAAGATAGTTTTGAAAATAAATTTGAGTTGTATTTTAAAATTTTATTTGATTATAAGAGGTGATTTGGAATGTTCTAAATAAGTGTACTTCTTGATTTTTTACAAAAAAAAAAAAAATTGTAGAAAAGTAAAGAAAGCGGTAAGAAAAATAGAGAGAAGATATTAATAGATATTGATTGATATGACCCAAATAAGTATATATAGGTAAAAAAATATACTTTTTTAATTTACATCAAACACCTACTAAATTTTGATTCAAATCATGACTTGAAACCGAATTAAATTTTGAAAAGTAAATCAAATGCCTAAATTATAGCGATCCCGGTTTTACCCTTGTTGTACAGTGATCTGGACATGTGTCCGTGGGTGATAGAAATTGACTATTGTCTTGTTTACATCTATTACTACTTTGTATATTGAGTTATAGGATGTGTCGGGCAGGTTTGTTACAGGTTGGTTGTGTTTGGGAGCCTAGTGCTGCTGCCCAGATTTTTGGACCTTCGCTCGAGCGAGGAGTTGGTCGCTCGAGCGAGAGTTGAGTTCGTGTCTGGTGGATCGAGCCAGAGTGGCTTCGCTCGAGCGAGCGATTGCATCTGGTTTTGGACCTGAGAGCTGCATTTCTTGGCTCGAGCGCGTTTTCTTCGCTCGAGTGGTCTGGTTTGTTCTTCGCTCGAGCGAGAAGTCTGTCGCTCGAGCGTGCTTCTGGTTGCAGACCTGAGGGTTTGAGTTGTTAGCTCGAGCGAGCATTCTTTCGCTCGAGCGCACTTCTGAGTTTTCGGCTCGAGCGAGAACTTCTTGGCTCGAGCGAGAGTTTTCTGTGTCAGGTCGCTCGAGCGACAAAGGC